AGGACATCTGTCCAAACTTCCTTGGACAGTTTCCTTAAGAAAGCAGACAAGACTCCAGAAAAACCTGCTCCAGCCACAAACCCTTCAAAAAGTCCAGCAAAGTCACCTCAAAGAAGTCCTTTCGAATCAATATGATTGCTATTTACAATATAAATACATTAATGTAGCTATATTACTCATCTATAATTCACTGAGTACAAAATTCTGGGTTATTTTTGGTGAAAACAGGGAATTGGGCCTTGGTTCAGGAATCAATCCCCCATTTATAACATTGCTTCTGTGGGAAAATCGGTTCCAAGTTATGATGTTTCCATTTAAGATGCCGTTGTCAGGAATCAATTGTGTTGCAAGTCCGAGGATTGCCTGTACTGCGTCCAGTTCTGGGCACTGCACTTCAACAAGGATGTGGAAAAGCTAGAGAGAGTCCAGAGAAGAGCCTCCCGTATGATCGGAGACTTGCACGGCAGGCCATATGAGGAAAGACCGAGGGACTTGGGTCTCTTCAGCCTAAAAAAGAGAAGGCTGAGAGGGGACTTGGTAGCAGCTTACCACTATATCGGGGAATACATCAAGGGCTCGGCAAACAACTGTTCACCAAGGCACCCTTGGGGAAAACGAAGAGTAATGGCCACAAACTCCTGGAAGACTGTTTTAGGCTTAACACTAGGAAAAACTTCTTCACAGTTATGGTGTCCAGACTGGAATAAACTCCCTCCAGTGGTGGTGCAGTCACCTACCCTGGAAATCTTCAAGAGGAGACCGGATGGTCACCTCGCTGGGGTCACCTCACCCCACCTGTCTTTCCTGCCTAGTGCAGCAGGGGGCTGGACCCGATGATCTTGCGAGGTCTCTTCCAGCCCCTTACAATCTATGCATCTATGAAGTCAGTTAAAAAGGAGGAGGATGGCACACCGGTTTTAGCATCCAAGAATGTGATGGCAAAAACTGACCGCAAAGTAATTATTAAAATATTTCTACTACTTCTCTTCATAGTAGCTGTACTTTTGAATCCTGCATTTTGGCTCTGAATGTCCTGACTACTTCTCCAAGTTGAAATTTCAAAGTTGTAATACATAGCATATTAGTGATCTGCCACTACTGTAAAAGGGATTTTTGCCCAGTCTACTTCAAAGTGCTTAAGACAATGTTTCATTTAATTTCATTCATCTATCCTTTGCCTTTCCTATTTAGATAAGACAGCTTCTTCTCCCAAAAGATTACAATATATCTGTATGGTCTGGCACAGGCTTGTCCAACATACGGCCCGCGGGCCACCATGTGGCCCACCAAGCCATTTTATCTGGCCTGCGGCGGGGGCAGCGCTGCCGCCACGGAGCATGAAGCCACAGCAGCGGGGGCAGTGCCATGGAGTGCGGAGCCGCAGCAGCGCGCAGCGCGGAGCCAGTGGCGAAGGCGAGGTGGGCAGGGAGCGCGGAGGGAGTGCGGCGAGGCAGGCAGGGAGTGCAGAGCCGTAGCGGTGGGGCAGGCAGAGAGCGCAGAGGGAGAGCAGTGAGGCGGGCAGGGAGCGCTGCGGGGTGTGGAGCCGTGGCGGTGACGGGGCCGTTGCGAGGCGGGCAGGGCCGACCGCGGGGCCCGGGGGAGCAGCTTACCCCCGCGGGGCCCGGGGGAGCAGCTGCTGGCAGGGGCCGCCTGTGGCCGGCGTCTCCCCCCCCCA